TATCAGCAGCACACCATGGTCAGCAACAGCAAGCTGCAGGTCGAGCCCCACGTCAAGCACCAGCAGCACACCATGGTCACCAACAGCAAGCTGCAGGTCAAGGCCAACGTCAAGCACCAGCAGCACACCATGGTCACCAACAGCAAGCTGCAGGTCAAGGCCAACGTCAAGCACCAGCAGCACACCATGGTCACCAACAGCAAGCTACAGGTCAAGGCCAACGTCAAGTACCAGCAGCACACCATGGTCAGCAACAGCAAGCTGCAGGTCGAGCCCCACGTCAAGCACCAGCAGCACACCATGGTCAGCAACAGCAAGCTACAGGTCAAGGCCAACGTCAAGCACCAGCAGCACACCATTATCACCAACAGCAAGCTGCAGGTAAAGGCCAACGTCAAGCACCAGCAGCACACCATGGTCAGCAACAGCAAGCTACAGGTCAAGGCCAACGTCAAGCACCAGCAGCACACCATTGTCACCAACAGCAAGCTGCAGGTCAAGGCCAACGTCAAGCACCAGCAGCACACCATGGTCACCAACAGCAAGCTGCAGGTCAAGGCCAACGTCAAGTATCAGCAGCACACCATGGTCAGCAACAGCAAGCTGCAGGTCGAGCCCCACGTCAAGCACCAGCAGCACACCATGGTCACCAACAGCAAGCTACAGGTCGAGGCCAATGTCAAGCACCAGCAGCACACCATGGTCACCAACAGCAAGCTACAGGTCAAGGCCAACGTCAAGTACCAGCAGCACACCATGGTCAGCAACAGCAAGCTGCAGGTCGAGCCCCACGTCAAGCACCAGCAGCACACCATGGTCACCAACAGCAAGCTGCAGGTCAAGGCCAACGTCAAGTACCAGCAGCACACAATGGTCAGCAACAGCAAGCTGCAGGTCAAGACTAACGTCAAGCACCAGCAGCACACCATGGTCAGCAACAGCAAGCTGCAGGTCAAGGCTAACGTCAAGCACCAGCAGCACACCATGGTCAGCAACAGCAAGCTGCAGGTCAAGGCCAACGTCAAGTACCAGCAGCACACCATGGTCACCAACAGCAAGCTGCAGGTCAAGGCCAACGTCAAGCACCAGCAGCACACCATGGTCACCAACAGCAAGCTGAAGGTCAAGGCCAATGTCAGGCACCAGCAGCACACGATGGTCAGCAACAGCAAGCTGCAGGTCAAGGCCAACGTCAAGCACCAGCAGCACACCATGGTCAGCAACAGCAAGCTGCAGGTCAAGGCCAACGTCAAGCACCAGCAGCACACCATGGTCAGCAACAGCAAGCCGCAGGTCGAGCGCCGCGAAATTATCAGGCACAGCAGGCCGAAATGCTGCCACCGGCACAGCAAATTGGTATTCCCTACCCGGTTGCTGGAGGACAGAGGCGTCCTTAACACGCCATAGCTCGTGAAAATACTGAGGCGCTTAACACGTTTCTGACTAGAGAATTGCCAGTTCTTTCTCAACAGATGCAACAAACAATGGACCTGATGAATGAACTGATCAGAAGACAGTTGAACATGTAATTTTATTTATCGTTTTATTTATTCTACGATTATAACATATAGACTCTTCCGGTTGTATCAAGCCCGTTTAGTTTATAAAATGTCGATAATTCAAAATTAAATAACACTCTTGAATCTCTCTCCTGAATGAGTGCACTTTAATATTATAGATTTATGCACTGAATATATGTACTTGTAAACAATATCTTTGTGTTAAGGTTAAAAACATTTAGTTTGCTTGTTGAATAAAACGATAGACTCTTCTATTTTCAACAACTATTTAAGCTAAAAGGGCCTGATAAATTATAAATTATAAATTTTGATAAATTATAAATTATAAATTTTGAGTGAAGTTACGTTACCTTAATACTAACTGAAGCAAAAGTACAGTTCAAAAGTGCTGCATAAACTACTCAAACGTATAATTCCATTTTAACATGCAAAATGTATGATGACAATAATGATGACAATAATGACAACTTGAATTTGTCAAATCAGGAAATTATTTAACGTTAATTCAGTTGTGAACTATTCTGTAAACTAATGCATTGCAGTAACGGCATTAAAAGTTTTGCGAGAGTTCAATATGTCTTTGGGCCAAAAAAGCACAAAGTTCATTGAACTCGCGGTGACGGTTGGCGGAAGCTTTTATCACAGGAATTGATTATTGATAGAAATCAGGCAGTTCACAGGGCGTATAAATAGATCATGCATCAGTGATTGAGCATTCAGCAGCATATCCGAGACAGCAATTCAACTGCAATCAATGGCTGCTAATTCTGATTTCAAGCCTTAGCAGTTTTGGCCCTGGACGTTAAGTTTTTATTTTTATTAGTTGTTCTCTACAGTATAAGATATTACACGCTTTTTTATTTCAAATTAAAACTTATATAAGATGAGCCTACACAAGAAGTTCCATTATTTCCCATGCCTAAGTGTAAGGGTTAGGTATACGTTACCTATGTGAACAAGCTTTGCTCTTGGTTGATGATAATGTTACGAAATGCGAATATATAATGTAATTTAGCATTGTTAAGAAATAGAAGGTCAATATAGATGAGGAAATTACTTGGGGAACATGTCACATAAAATGAAGTGTAAAGTAAATATTATTATGACCCTTCGGAATCACAAAATTACTTTTCTTGTCATAAGGTGACAGCCCATGGGATTTCCTCCGAAACAATAGTGTGTCGTACAAAGTACAAGTGTCACGACTCAAGAACATAAGTTCTAGGCGGATACTAGTTTATGTCAATCATGTCTTTGTTATATTTTGCTCGGTTAAGCACTTGAAGCCTTACGTCACTAAAAGCTTAATTCGATGAAATTATTTGTAAAATAGTTTATAAGTTGAGATACGGTTCACAGAGTAATAAGTTGATAATTGTACTTTAAGTTGATGATAAATATTTTAAGTTGTTAACAAGTTTTAACAGTGATCGATTAAGTAAAAGACCAACTTGACTAGTGCGTCACCGGCCTTAAGTAAACAAAGTATGAGAGCTGGACCGAGCTTCTAACGCCAACCCACACTTACAACCTACAACGCTGATTGGATTGTGTGAATCACACCATCTTGCACAGGGCGTCTTCAAGATCCCCTCAAATTTTATTATAAAAGGAGGCGCACAGCAACAGAACATTCAGTGGACTAAACACGAGAGTGGACTAAAAGGAGTGGACTAAACACGAGAGTGGACTAAAAGGAGTGGACTAAACACGAGAGTGGACAGAAAAGGAGTGGACTAGCGGAGTAAAAAAGTATATGAAACGTTGGAGAAGCTCAACGACAGAACTGACGAAGAAGACAAGAACATTTAACGACGATCAAGATCGAAGATAGAAAAAGAAGAGAACAGTAACGAACTTTAGTTGAATTATTGTAACGATCCACTACCTCGCGCAGAAATAAAAACCTTGTAACAATAACAATAGAACACAATAAAATACAATGAATTAATATAAAAATCAAATACTTATTGAGTTTAGGTGGAAAATGTAAAGAGCCTCGTCAGAGATTCGAACTCTGGACCCCTGGCCGGTTTACAAGACCAGTGCTCTAACCACTGAGCTAAAGAGGCATGCATCCGTAAAAAACATCCGTGGACACTGTCGATATAATTACATTAATGCAAAATCCTAGCGCACAATCTTTGTAAGAGGTTGATACTTAAATTAAGTTGAGAGGGTGCATCTAAAGTTTGAAGGAGAACACGTACCACATTTTTTTCTCAAGAAAATACAACATAATTAGACCACCAGCGAATTGTTGTCAAAGGCTGTTCTCTTCAGTTCAAGCGAGAGAGGCGAACAGGGCTTGCACGGGAATCGAACCCGTGACCTCTCGCACCCTAAGCGAGAATCATACCACTAGACCAGCAAGCCAAGTGCAGAACACGGGAAGTTTTCTTTTTCGCATATTTCTTCGCTCACAATAAAAGCGATGTATAGCATGCATGAATGGAAAATATAAAAATCTTTTTTATGTCATATTTATTACAAGCCAAGTTACTCTGAGTGAAAAAAGACTTGTAGGAATCTTAAATCACTGTTACTACCGAGACAAGACAAACGCAATGGTAGAAAATAGACGATTATTGTAAACACGATAACAAACTAAACTTTATTCAGTATATCGTTATATACAAGAAGCCGGTCAAAAAACTCGTTCATGTTCGTAGATACTTATTAAGTTTAAGTGGAAAATGTGGAAAGCCTCCTCAGAGATTCGAACTCTGGACCCCTGGTTTACTAGACCAGTGCTCTAACCACTGAGCTAAGGAGGCACCAAGAAAAAAAGCATGCGCAAATAGAAATGTAAACAAATGTTTCAAAAAAGTTTTTTTCAGGTTAATTTTTTCACGGCGATTATTAAATGCGTAATGATCACAAATATTTAAGTCTTTTACTCACCCTTACCATACACAGTTAAAAAAAATCAAGCCTTATCAGAGAGTTGAACTCCGGACCCCTGGTTTACGAGACCAGTGCTCTAACCACTGAGTTAATAAGGCAAACCCGTAATACTTTTGAAAAATGTAAAATTAATCATCGCGAAAAATAGTTATTCATGCCAAGCTAAAACTAAAAGGAAAAATATTAGTGTTAAAGTTTGGTGGATCAATTCTGTAGCTTTCACAAACACCGTTACTGAGATTATCCTGTAGACGATGGCAATGGTAATCATACGGTGATATGATAGTTGAAAATGTTACAGTATTATTTTTGAGTTACAAATTATTCTTGGGTTATGAAAAATGTGCCACAGTACTTGTATATGATGATTGACAAGGTCTTCATTGTTGACATGCCTACAACGTCTACATTTATGCATACTAGATCTCCTCCTTGCATGTATATTGATAGGATTGATGCTGAATGGGAAAAGTTTTAACGGGAGATTGCAACTTGAGTTCAACACTGCTTTCTTTCTTAAAAGCTAAGAAAGAAACTCAATCGCGCAAAAATTTCAAGTTATGAGGGCGATCAGGGCTTGCACGGGAATCGAACCCGTGACCTCTCGCACCCAAAGCGAGAATCATGCATACCACTAGACCAGCAAGCCACACCTGGGGAAATAGTTTATTATCTTTCGGTGTAATTTTAAAAAAATCCGGTATATTACATGAAAAACTAAGGTTCAAGAGACTTCCGTTAATTCGTGCAAAAAATATCCCATTTTGCTGTTGAAAACAAGCCTATAAAAGAGCAATAATTTCTGAATAGAGGTCCCTTTGACAAGAGGTAATTACGTTTTAGTCCAATCACCATGTTTATTTACATTATTTTTTTGTAACCGAATGGGAATGCATAAATTTGCGTTAAAAGGGTATAATATTAACCATTTCACATCAAGTATTAGAAATTTTAACTGCTCTGACTGGTATTTTTTAAAAAATGAAAAAAAATATCATGTCGTATGTTTTGAAACGAAATTCCACCTGGTGGCAAACAATTTCTCTGTGTTATATGAACATCTTTCGGACTATCAAGAGTCGTAATCGGCAGGATTTGAACCTGCGCGGGAATATCCCAACAGATTTCAAGTCTGTCGCCTTAACCACTCGGCCACGACTACATAATTGCTTACGAGTCGCTTATTTTGCTTTAACACGGATAGCTTGGAACTTACCTGTTTACTTTACCACAGATTTTACGTCGTGGGCACATTAATAGGTTCTCTGGAATTGGTACGCCTTCCCAACTGCTTTTCAATTGCCAGCAGAATTTTGGAATTATAATAAGACTGAAAAAAAAGCAAAGGGTCTCGTGGAACTCGCGGTGACGGTTGGCGGAAGCTTTTATCACAGGAATTGATTATTGATAGAAATCAGGCAGTTCACAGGGCGTGTAAATAATTATGCATCAGTGATTGAGCATTCAGCAGCATATCCGAGACAGCAATTCAACTGCAATCAATGGCTGCTAATTCTGATTTCAAGCCTTAGCAGTTTTTGCCGTGGACGTTAATTTTTTTATTTTTATTAGTTGTTCTCTACAGTATAAGATATTACACGCTTTTTTATTTCAAATTAGAACTTATATAAGATGAGCCTACACAAGAAGTTTCATTATTTCCCATGCCTAAGTGTAAGGGTTAGGTATACGTTACCTATGTGAACAAGCTTTGCTCTTGGTTGATGATAACAATAGAACACAATAAAATACAATGAATTAATATAAAAATCAAATACTTATTGAGTTTAGGTGGAAAATGTAAAGAGCCTCGTCAGAGATTCGAACACTGGACCCCTGGCCGGTTTACAAGACCAGTGCTCTAACCACTGAGCTAAAGAGGCATGCATCCGTAAAAAACATCCGTGGACACTGTGGATATAATTACATTGATGCAAAATCCTAGCGCACAATCTTTGTAAGAGGTTGATACTTAGATTAAGTTGAGAGAGTGCATCTAAAGTTTGAAGGAGAACACGTACCACATTTTTTTCTCAAGAAAATACAACATAATTAGACACCAGCGAATTGTTGTCAAAGGCCGTTCTCTTCAGTTCAAGCGAGAGAGGCGAACAGGGCTTGCACGGGAATCGAACCCGTGACCTCTCGCACCCTAAGCGAGAATCATACCACTAGACCAGCAAGCCAAGTGCAGAACACGGGAAGTTTTCTTTTTCGCATATTTCTTCGCTCACAATAAATACGATGTATAGCATGCATGCATGGCATATAAGAAATAAAAAAATCTTTTTTATGTCATAATTTATTACAAGCCAAGTTACTCGAGTGAAAAAAGACTTGTAGGAATCTTAAATCACTGTTAGTACCGAGACAAGACAAACGCAATGGTAGAAATAGACGATTATTGTAAACACGATAACAAACTAAACTTTGTTCAGTATCGTTATATACAAGAAGCCGGTCAAAAAACTCGTTCATGTTCGTAGATACTTATTAAGTTTAAGTGGAAAATGTGGAAAGCCTCCTCAGAGATTCGAACTCTGGACCCCTGGTTTACTAGACCAGTGCTCTAACCACTGAGCTAAGGAGGCACCCAGCAAAAAAGCATGCGCAAATAGAAATGTAAACAAATGTTTAAAAAAAGTATTTTGCAGGTAATTTTTTTCACGGCGAGTATTGAATGCGTAATGATCACAAATATTTAAGTCTTTTACTCACCCTTACCATACACAGTTAAAAAAAATCAAGCCTTATCAGAGAGTTGAACTCTGGACCCCTGGTTTACGAGACCAGTGCTCTAACCACTGAGCTAATAAGGCAAACCCGTAATACTTTTGAAAAAGGTAAAATGAATTATCGGCGAAAAATAGTTATTCCTGCCAAGCTAAAACTAAAAGGGAAAATATTAGTGTTAAAGTTTGGTCGATCAATTCAGTTGCTTTCACAAACACCGTTAATGAGATTATCTTGTAGACGATGGCAATGGTAATCATACGGTGATATGATAGTTGAAAATGTTACAGTGTTATTTTTGAATTCCAAATTATTCTTGAGTTATGAAAAATGTGCAACGCACTATAAAAAAGTCGCACGAATTCATTTTCCTGATGTTCAGTACTTGTATAATTTTTATGATGATTGATAGGGTCTACAACGTCTACATTTATGCATACTAGATCTCCTCCTGGCATGTATATTGATAGGATTGATACTGCATGGAAAAAGTTTATCTGGAGAGTGCAACTTGAGTTTAGCACTGCTTTTTTTGCACAGCATTATTAAGATGAAGTATTTTTATATATATTCCCCTCTTCCAGGTATGGAGCCCTGGTTTACAAATATAATATAGAACATGCATGTGTCGTAGAAAGTCATTCAAAAAACCTAAACGGCATGGATTGTTTACCAAACGTACGCCAGTTCGCCACGAAAATAAATTGGGATTTTTCATGCACTAATGGGTACCATAAAAATATTTAATTTTTCTTTAATTTATAGAACAGGAAGGAGCGAGCGGAGTTGAACCATTGACCCCAGTGACCTGTCAACCTGCAGTCGGATGCTCTACCACTATATGCATGCTACTATCTCTGAGCGTTGCATGCAGCATACCTGTCATATGCTATATTCTTAGATACCGGTAAGAGAAAGCATGAAATAAAAAAATACATAAAGACGGAGAATGAATGTTTTCAAAGAGTTTCTACCAAGAATTGAACTCCGATTCTCGAAGTCAGAGTCCGAAGTGATAACCATTACGCCACAGACACTAAAAATCTATCAAACTTACTGACGAATGTTGGCTGCATAGTATATAATTATGTAGTTTGCTACGCGCATGCTCATTATTAAGATAAAGTATTCATATAATTATATTCCAGTTAAGCTTGCACATACACCTCATTAGCTCAGTGGTTAGAGCACTGGTCTTGTAAACCAGGGGCCCAGAGTTCAACTCTCTGATGAGGCTTTGCATACTTTTCTATTTACAAAAGTATATAGGCAACTATAGCAACTATATAATTTATCCTACTCAGAGCCCGAAGTGCTAACCATTACACCACAGGACATAATCACCTAGAAAAATTACTGAGAAATTCCTGGCTCTACAGTATATCTATGCACGCCCATTATTAAGATAAAGTAATTATATTCCCTGTATTCCAGGTATGGACTCCCGTTTTACAAATTAATAGAACATGCATGTGTCCCAGAGAGTCATTGAAAAAACACTAAACTGCAAGGATTATTTATCAATCAAACGGATTGTTGCAACGAAAATAAATTTGGGTATTTTAATTCACTAATTAGTACGATAAAAATGTTGGATTTTTTTTTCATTCATGAATGAAAAGGGAGCGAGCGGAGCTGAACCACTGACCTCTCGATCTGCAGTCGAATGCTCTACCACTGAGCTACACTCCCTGATCGTGCGTACTTGTTTGATGCTATTCTCCTAAAAGAACATTTCTTGCTTTTCTTACCTTATTCGAAATAGCACAAGTTTTATATTCATAGCATAGAAGCAGTGTGTAGCAAGCAGGGTGGCGCAGTGGAAGCGTGCTGGGCCCATAACCCAGAGGTCAATGGATCGAAACCATTTCCTGCTAAAGTTATCATTTCAATAAAAAAGTTCTTTTCGAAATCTTAATCAAAAACATATATTTTTTCTCAAATGGGCTATAAGAGAAAACCAGAGCTAAAAAATTTACATGAAGACATAAAATTAACAGTTCCAGCAAGGTTCTACCGAGAATTGAACTCCGATTCCCGGATTCAGAGTCCGAAGTGCTAACCATTACACCACAGAACCTATCCATCTACTGAAAGACACAACAGAAATTGGTGTTTGAGACATTTCAACCCGGAAATATAATCGCTGGTACCCAATCGTGTATTTCTGTACCGCTATCAAAGAGAAACCTTTTGAATAGCATGAAAAAGTTCAATTTTTCTTCGGAATATGTATTCTGCAATCTTTTGACGACTCATCATATACATCTGATCCGCGCTGTGATGTATAGTCTATATACACGCACATTATTAAGATGAAGTATTTACATATATTCCCCCTATTCCAGGTAAGGAGCCCTGGTTTACAAATATAATATAGAACATGCATGTGTCCCAGAGAGTCATTCAAAAAACCTAAACTGCATGGATTGTTTATCAAACGTACGGCTTTTTCCCACCGCGAAAATAAACTGGGATTTTTCATGCACTAATGGGTACCATGAAAATATTTAATTTTTCTTTAATTTATAGAACAGGAAAGAGCGAGCGGAGTTGAACTACTGACCCCAGTGAGCTGTCAACCTGCAGTCGGATGCTCTACCACTATATGCTACTCTCTCTGAGCGTTCCATGCAGCATACCTGTCATATGCTATATTCTTAGATACCTGTAAGAGAAAGCCTGAAATAAAAAAATACCTAAAGACGGACAATGAATGTTTTCAAAGAGTTTCTACCAAGAATTGAACTCCGCTTCTCGAAGTCAGAGTCCGAAGTGATAACCATTACACCACAGACTCTAAAAATCTATCAAACTTACTGACGAATGTTGGCTGCATAGTATATAATTATGTAGTTTGCTACGCGCATGCACATTATTAAAAGTATTCATATAATTATATTCGTGTCAAGCTTG